ATGAAAAATAACTTGTCATGTCCTTTGCTAAAGCTAACGAGTCTAGTCCATCACACAATCCGCTTAAAGAAAATAGGGACTATGAATATTCCATGAAGGTTCAGCCTTTACGAGCTTCCTGTTTCATTGTTCATTATCGAGGCACGATTGTTCTTCCTTAGCTAGCAAGAGGACAACCTTGTCAACTGGTCTGCATAGTTGGGAGGTTTGGGTCTTCAAATGAACCGTGCGTATCAACCCCTTCTTGTCTGATTCTGCGCTAATGACTCGTCCCATTGGCCAAACACTCCTCGGGCAGTTGTCTTTCAACAGGACAACGTCTCCGACAGCTAGATTCTGTTTGGGACTGTTCCACTTCGAACGAGGTTGGAGAGTTGGGAGATATTCTCTCTTCCAACTCGTCCAAAATAAGTTTGCCAGGTACTGCACTCTCCGCCAGCGCCGCCTCATATAGACATCTGCATGTTGAAAAACTCCTGCTGGGGGAAGTACAACGCTGGTTTTCATCGTCAGGAGATTGCTGGGACTTAGTGGGTTGAGATCATCGGGATCACTGGAGGCGAATGTTAGCGCTCTCGAGTTAATGATAGCTTCAACTTCACATAGTAGAGTTCTAAAGGATTTGTCATCCAGACGGGAGCCATGCTCATGGAGTAGAACAGTGAGTACTTTGCAGGTACTGCGAATCTGCCGCTCCCAAATGCCGCCCATGTGGCTGCCACTCGGTGGGTTGAAAATCCAATTCGTACCCTCTTGTTGCAACCTGCTTCTGATTTGCTCATTGTCCATTTCATAAACTGCTTGCTGCAACTCTGTCTTGGCGCCTACAAAATTTGTTCTGTTGTCACTCCAGATCTCTCGGATAGGCCCACGACAAGCAATAAATTGCCTCAGAGCCTGGATAAATGAATCTGTTTTGAGAGAATTGGCGGTCTCAATATGCACTGCCCTACTTGCTAAACATGTGAAAAGGCATCCGTACTGTTTGAGTTCCTTTCGACCTTCTTTGATCATGTACGGACTGAAGTAATCCACACCAGTATACGTAAATGGCGGGGCTGGAGTCACTCGGTCTTTAGGCAAGTCAGCCATTTTCTGTTCAGCGACAGGGGCACGATTACGGCGACAAGTAACACAATTTGCGATTAGGTGACGAACAGCAGCATTGGCACCGGTGACCCAGTACTTCTCCCTCAATTTAGCAAGTGTGTGACCGCGGCCTGCGTGTGCTAGGCGTTCGTGCAGGCGTTTGATAATCAAGTTCGTAACGTGACTCTTGCGAGGTAAGATGATGGGGTGTTTCGTTTCTTCTGGAAGATCGTCAGCGCGGCTAAGGCGGCCACCAACACGAAGGAGGCCTTCATGAATGTAGGGATCCAGTCGAGTTAGGGAACTTGCTTTCTTCAGCACCATTTTCTTTTGCTTTGCCCGACCCCGTTCGTCTCCTGGCAGAAACA